AAAGGAGGCCAACGAAATGCTACAAGATTTACAACGAGTCTCCCAAAAAGTAGGGCTTGAAATAAACTTTGCGAAAACTAAAATGATGACCAACTTAGTACCTAGTGGACCATTGAAACTAGAAAACTGGCATATTGAAACGGTTGACAAATACATATATCTGGGCCACGAAATACAAATAAGTAGAGACAACCAAACATGCGAATTATCTAGAAAAATAGCTTTAGGATGGGCAGCCTATGGCAAGCTAAAAGACGTGTTTAAGGAAAACATCCCAATAAAGCTAAAGAGAAAAGCATTTAACCAGTGCGTACTTCCGGTGCTCACTTATGGAGCTGAAACACTAACATTGACTAAAGCATCAATGAAAAAGTTACAAGTAGCACAACGAAAAATGGAAAGATCTATGCTTGGCGTAACTTTGGGAGACCGAATACGGAATGATGAGATACGGCGAAGAACTGGAGTGGAAGACGTCATAAAACGGATTACGAAGTTGAAGTGGAAATGGTCAGGACACGTCGCAAGACAGAGAGACAACAGATGGACAAAGAAGATTTTAGAATGGCGGCCAAGGGCAGACAAGCGAAATCGTGGAAGACCACCTACCAGATGGACGGACGACATTAAAAGAATAGTGACAAACTGGATCGCAGCTGCACAGGACAGAGAAGAGTGGAGACATCTTGAGGAGGCCTATGTTCGACAGTGGACAAATTTGGCTGTGTGATGATGATGATGATGAATAAAATTTATTACTTTATTGATTGGTCGTAGTCAAATTTCCATTGTTAGAGACCAGTTATTAAAACCTATAACATGAAAATTCGATTTGGAATTTTGGCAACAAATATGAGGCATTTGAATATGACTAAAAACGCAGAAGATAAAGACAGTTTTTGGTGTAATTTATAGCCGAAGTTAAGTTCTTTTGAAAAACGTACTAGCGTAATTAAAACACGTTAAGCTCCATGTACACCACACTGGTGCACAGCACGTTTTTACCACAGACCATGTATACCAATTTGGCCTCAGGATGTTATCGTGTTTAAGAGACTGGCCACGTGAGGGACACAGTTTCTGTGATCTGTATCACATATGATAAATTAGAAAGGTATGGTCTATAGAAAACTGAAATCTGTCTTGGTTCGGTAAAACCTGCCTCCACTTTTTGTAGGTTAGGATTTTTGTTGACATTTGTATTTCACTGTGGTATACATGATACATTCCCCTAATATCGATATTTTGCTGGCCATTTAGGTAAATTATAATGATGGGTACTGATGGATTTTGTGTCTGGCTGTATGACGATAAGTCTAAACCAAAAAAAAAACTTCACTTTGACATTATTCATCGAGCCAACACATTTCGTAAAATTTAAATTCATTCCTTATGATTTAACGTTGTGTGTAGATATTTTTGTTATTGCAACATTCTACCAATGAATACAGACGATATGAATATAGATTCTATGATTCAAACTAGTTGACGATAAGTTCTTGTTCATCACAACAAACTTAGTTCGTTACAAATACTCTCTGTAAGAACAAATTTCTTTACCTTTATACTTCTTTTTACATTCCTCATTGTAAATTTACGTTATACCCACGATGTCCTTCCTTTGTGAACATCTGTTGCGAAGGTATTGATTTTTAAGTATGGAGCAGTGCACACCTGCCTTTGTACTTTACATTCCTTTTATTTTCTACCTGCCCGCTTTTCCTATGATCAACGGGTGGTAGCAGGGAAATAGACCATTTTAAAGTATATTTATGCGTTTACCTGTATTAGGTCACTAACCCTAATTTTGCTATTCCGTTTTACTGCAAATTTTGAGAATCACCTCCTACGTTTTTGACTATAGTACATTTGAAAATTATTGATAGCACAAATTTTAGTAGCGAAGGTCTAAAGACAGGGTTGGCCAACGCAGAAAAAACGTAATAATTGATACCTTCTTATCGGAATTTTCGCTCGACTTTAATATGACCACCCCGACAAACCTCAAATACGATAAATACATCATAAAATGTAAATGAGCAAACCCGAAGGGATTAAGCAATAACTGAACGTCTCAGTGACGGAGAACATAAAATTACTTTAATAATAAAAAAACTAAAATGTCACTATTCGTACCTACATTAATTTTTATAAAAATACTAAATATTGGTTTAGGGTATTTCCTTACAATTTAATATTTTGGGCACTAGCGTCATATAAACTTATAATTAATAATATAAATATGTAATTACATACATAAATACAAAGTTGTCTTCTTCCAATAAGGAGGAATCATTATCATCATTAGTTTCTTAATTTTCTACCGAAATAATAATTGGTTCTATTGTTTTCTCTATTCCAAAACGTTTCTTCCTCTGCTATGACACGTCTTATAGCTTTTTGCCAGTTATCAGATGAAACTTTTGATATGGAGTCATATAATAGTTGATGAACATCTTGAAGTTTAAATGTTCAACAAATCGTTACAACAAATGTTAACAATCCTCCATCAACAAATCCTTAATATCATCCAATATGAGTGATAATTAAAAATTTGTAAATTTTAAACACCTAGACCAGGGGTTAATTACTATTAAACTGGGAATAAGCCACAATTAAAGATAAAAATACGTTTATTGACGTTTCAATTTCCACTTCGGAAGTCGGAAAGGAGAACGATTTCCGAAGTGGAAATTGAAACGTCAATAAACGTATTTTTATCTTTAATTGTGGCTTATTCCCAGTTTAATAGTAAATGTACAATGCCACAAGAAAATAGCTTCAGAACAATAGACCAGGGGTGCTCAAACTTGAACTGCTGGCGATCTACCTCAATATTTTTAGACTACTTACAATCGACTCTGAGAGACTGCAAGTGTGTGTGATGCAGGGTTATCGTACATACACGATACACTCTACCTACCTAGGTAGGGCGTACCGTAGCATATATAGATATTAGCTTTCTGCACAATATAGGTACATTATTTTAGTCAAGGTTTGGGTTAGGTTTAGTTAGATTCTTCTCTACAATATCAATAAAAAAACTCATAGTTATTCAAAATTGCGAGTTTATTTGTTGTTACAAAACAAAAGAGTTACATATGGTGTTAAACTTAACTAAGGAGTGGCTTTGGATGTTGAAGCGTGGCACTGCATGTCCTCAGCATACTTTTCATAAGATGGTACGTAACCACTGAGTGCTAATCGCAAGCATGATGTCATATGATCGTCAGTTAGTCGATTGCGATATTTTGACTTAATTATCTTCATTTCAGAAAATGCAGACTCGCACAAGTAAGTTGACCCAAAAAATGCCGTCAGTTGAAGGGCGATTTGCCTTACATTCGGATATTTATCTTCAGATATAAAACGCCAGAAATTTGTGTCAGATACTGTAGCTTTGAGATGTATATCTGATATAATCTGCACCAACTCATTTTCAACAAAACATGAGTTCATATTAAACTGACTTGCTATTTCATTAGCTAATTCCTCAATGTTTTTACATGAAAAAGGATAACTCATAAATGATGCTATATTTTCCAATTTACTGCAATGATAAAAACGCATTTCGAATTGTCCCAAAATATTTGATAATTCAGCTTCATACGTATCATAATTCAACTGAGGAATCCTTGCTTTTAAAGACGGAAAATGTTTCAGATTCTTTCTTTTCAGTTGATCTATCATAAGTTGCAATTTACTTTTGAATGCGTTTACTGCGCTAATCATCTCAATAATAGTTTTTCCTTTACCTTGAAGCTCCAAGTTAACGTTGTTTAAGTGCATTGTGATGTCAGTCAAAAATGCCAAATCATTTAGCCATTTTTCGTTTTTTAAAATCTGAGTGTCATCACCTCTTTCGTCTAGAAAAGCTGTTATTTCGGGCAATAATTCTTGAAACCTTTCTAGGAATTTTCCGCGACTCAACCACCTGACGTCCGTATGTGTGTGCAATGCCCATAATTTCCTCCGTGTTTAAAACTTTTAAACACAAAACTTGTTGATGTATAATGCAATGGAATGAAAAAAATGAAGGGAATTCTTCATTAGCTGATTTAGCTAACACAATGATGATTAGCTAACACAATGCCACAAATTTGATTAATAATTATAATAAATATTGAATTAATAAAATAATTAGTTAATATATGTAAATATAAAATATGCTGTGTGGACAGTATTTTGTTGTCCCCACTTCTTTGAATTGTAATGATGCTTAGTCAAGCATTATATGTATTTGTATAGTTCAGTATTAATAAAAACGTTTAACTCTGCTGACAGTAGTTTAGTTACCTACCTACTTATTAAAATTTTTTTTCTTCTCGAGATCTACCCAAAAAGCACTCGCGATCGACCAGTCGATCGCGATCGACCGTTTGAGCACCCCTGCCCTAGACAAACGTTGTATAATTGCCTGACGACCATTTGTAACCAGTTTATCTTGCCAAACTTTTTTTACAAAATGCCCTTTATCGTGTTTCATCTAAATAAAAAATATTTTTGCCTTCTCTCCTCAATTTTCGAATTTCTCTTAAATATTGCTTCCTCAAACGTTTCTTCTTTCTTAATAGCGCAGATTTTCTATTGTTTTTCTCATAAACGAATCCTTATTCAACATGACTGGTCTTTTGGCTTTGCCAGTGCCATTAACTTAACAAAAAATCCTAATTCACGTAAAGTTTTCCACAATTTATCTCTTTGAATGTTTGGCAAAGATTCGTCTTCATTAATGTCTAAAGTGTATCTAAAGTAGGAAACTTTTCTTTGAATCGTTTGTTTCACAGTATCGTCTATATGAATGGGTTTTCTCCCTGTTAACGTTTTAGGTGCTTATATATGTGTAATAAAAGTAATTCCCAATTAATACTAGCAAAGTAATCATTTAATTGGTCAATTAGTATTTTATTGTTTCTCAGCCAGATTAGAATTCAAGAAATAAAATTGTTTGGGGAAAAAACATGCACATTATCAATATCTAACTCATTTTCTATTTTTAGACTGTCTCCTAGACCGCCAAATATGTCTGCACCATCTCACATACATGATGATGAAGCGATCGTCGTGGATCCGAATCTACGCACCTTCAGGGACGCCTTAGTCACTTCCCCCTTGTGTGCCTTTATCACTGGAGAAATGGCGCGTCACACAAAGAGAGCCGCCAGTCCCTCTGACGTCACAATGGGAAGTCCCACTCAACACAAGAAACCTCGGTATATGTGAAATTTAAAAAAGAAAGTAAAAACGTTGCTGGTTGTCTGCTGCCTTAAGTTGTGAGTATTTATTTTAGAGATTTTACCGTATTTAAATGTTGAAACGATAAGCGTTGTTCTAGATATGCCCAATTAATAAAAAATAAGGCTAATCCATATGCGTAGTCCGCATCCCTAGTTTGCAGATTTTTGCCCAACCCTTTAGGATCATGGCCATGATGCTAACCATGGTGTTAGAACCAACTTTCAACTTGGATCAAACGAGATTTCAGGGTGATACGCCATAAATTCTTTCCAAAGTCTCATCTCCTAATTCGCATGTTATTTTATAATAACTGTCTCATTCAATTTCTTGACTCCTTCTTTTGACAAGGTCCTAACTCTCTTCAGAACTTTAAACAGCCACGTTTATGGTAAAACCTGTCTAAAATAATTTTTAATTTTAATAATTTTTTAAGTGACATTGCATTTAACATGCCATACACTCAGTTATATTCCTCTGGTTACGATCCGATTTTTTTATATTATGACCTGTTCCAAGATTGTTCTTCTTCTTCCTTCTAGTATGTAGCTAGCCTCCTAAATTGTCGCACTATCTTTTTCTTGGTCTGCCAATACTTCTTCGTTCATTTGGTGACTTATCTTATGCTATTCGTACTATTCTCTCCTCTGCCATTCTACTGATATGTTCGTTCCACTCCTGTTTTCGTTTCGCTTCTCTCCCTATCCAATAGACTTCTCCCTGATATTCGTCGGAGTATTTTCATCTCTGTTGTTTCTAGCAGTCGTCTCGTTTTAGATGTGTCAGGTCTTGCCTCCGCCGTGTATGTTAATATAGGTCTAATTGCTGCTTTATAGATTCTTGTTTTCGTGTCTTGTCTTAGGTGTTTGTTCTTCCAGATTGTGCCATTAAGAGAACCCGCCGCTTTACTTGCTTTTAAGCTTCGTTGTCGTACTTCTTCTTCAACTTCTCAGTAACTAGTTATATCTATTCCCAGATATCTAAAACTTGCTTCCTGCTTTATTATTTTCCCATCAATTTCGATTTTACACCGTAGTGGGTTTTTAGATGTTGTCAAACATTTGGTTTTGTCTGCTGATATTATCATATTGTATTTATTAGCTGTTGTATTGAAGATCTTTGAGCTCGTCTTCTGTCTCGGCGATTAATGCGGCGTCGTCTGCATAACATAATATTTGGATTTCTTTATTCCCCATTCTGTAGCCATGACCTTTACATACTGCTTGTATTATTTCGTCCATTATTGTATTAAAGAGAAGTGGGATCAACGAGTCACCCTGTCTGACTCCGCTTTGTACTGGTATACACTGTGTTAGTTTTCCATTTATCTTTGCCTGTATTCGATTTTGAAGGTAGATGTTTTCGATGGTTTGTATAATATTGATTGGTATGATTCTTTATATAGTAGGTGTAAGACGTCTTCGACTTGGATGTGATCAAAAGCCTTTGTCAGGTATATAAAACATAGATACGCTGCTTTATTGTACTCGATGGCCTTGTTGTTCATCTGATAAAGTTGTTAGTTTTATTGATTTTATTGGTTAGGACTTTTGTGGTAAGCTTAAGTGCGGTGTTCAGTAGATTTATACCTCTATAATTGTTGGGGTCTTCTTTATCTCCTTTCTTGAACATTGGTATCATTATGCTGAGTTTGACAACAACAACAACCTAAGATTGTTGATCTCTGTTAAATTGAAAAAAGGTAATTTTAGATTTAAAAGAACACATACCAACCTTTTTTCAAACTTTATGTATAAAAATGCAATATGTTTAGATTTAGATAAGTTTTTGTAGGAATTGATAAAACAGAAACGTCAAGATTGTATTAACAATGAGTTTTCGAACATATGTTTCAATAATAAGTGAAGTTGTCATAACAGAAGTGAAAATCATGGCCTCTTTTAATTAAATAAAAAAATGTAATGCAGTTTACATGTTAAAAAGTCAACAGTAAACAATGTGAAATAAGCAAAGCAATCAATATTTATTTATTTGAGTGCAAGGACATGATTAATTTTCCAAGTTAATAAATACCTGATTATTGATGAGTGATTTTATGAGTATCTGATCGATATTTATGTCGAAAATTTAACTAGTGTATTCTTAAATGTGTAGTTGACATTTTGAAAATTGATCACGTATTAACTATTTTGATGTTTTAGCAACGCTGTGAGGTTCTGACGTCGTAAATCTTGAATGACGCGAATTGATTTTGATTGATGTTTTATTCCCAAAAAATATTGTAAAATTGGAGTTATTGCAAATAAAGAGCCTTGATACATTATTTTCTTTTATTTTCAGATCAGTTGCATAAAAAATTATGGTTGTAGCATAACTACTTTAGGAGGATTATATCGATGATCACCAATTGATATACTGTCATGGTTAACAGCCGAAAATATTATACAATCCATTAGCGGAATCATACTACAAACACAGGAAAAATGCAGACTATTTTAGATCGGAGGTCATTATCAAAATATGTCTGACATAACAATGATTGAGGAGTACTGAAAAGTGGGTTAGATGTAGATTATTTTTTTTATGAAACTTAGGTACTCCTATATCCTATGAAGTATTTTTATAAGGAATTATATATTCAATTGTGTAATGAAATTCTCTGATATTTCAGGTTTTATAAGAAGTATAATTTTCAGAAATTGATGTTTCAAACGTAATATAGATAGTTATTTTATTATAACTACGTCCATCTGTTTGATCAAAGATACTAAATGTAAGAATATTAGAAATCAGTATTTTTGCAATTGTCTTCATTATTGTCACTGCTGGGCACACAAATCTCTTCCACTGTTCTCTTTCATTAATTACATTTCTTCCTGTTTATTAGAAGTTATTGAGAGTAATTCTTAATGATTTGTTTATTTGGTGCTAATTTTAATTAGACGAATTTATTTTATCAAATGGTATAAAAGTATAACGGATAAAACAAGTTAAAGGTGACCTGTTCGCGACATGTAAGGGCATGTATTAATGAATTAGATAGTAAATGTTTATTCAATTTTCTACAGTATAAATATATCGGCTGTATAGCATATATTATGCACTCTAGACATGTAATATGTGTTGCATATACCTTACAGTGACCTCCAAATTATGTTATATTGTTATGTTTGATACTTCCATCGTATTCCTACTCGTGTAATCTTAATACTTTTAATCAGGTTATTAAACTAAGTGGTTTTATTCCATTCTCGTCCATAATTTTTAACAATTCTGAGCAGAAGTCGACTGGTCCTGCAGCTTTGTCTTTCTTGGCGTCTATAACTGTCTTCGATAAATTTCTGTTATCTTCAAATATTTTATTATACATCTTTTGTCTATATTGTTTTATTTCTTCAGTGTCAGTTACCAAATTCCTTCGAATATTTAGTTAATATCCCGTCATTTTAGTTTTGTATACAAGAAGCGGCTTCCTTGATATTCTTGTAAATCTATGAATCATATTTATATATTAACATCTCGATTTCTTCGTATTGTTCTTCCATTCCTTTGTTTTAAGCTTCTATGAATTATTTATTTATATCTTTCTCGATTTATTGATATGTGTAACCATCGAACTACCCATCAGAAACGGTGGGTTCCAAAAATATAACTACCTCTGAAAGTTAGGAGCCGAGGAGCCGATTACTAAGCCTGGTCTAGCTGAATCTCTCAGGTGTGAGTACGTCTTATTTTAAAAGTTAAATCTGAAAAATGAGTTTGGCTGGGACAAATAAACTAAGATATTAACTAATCATACTGTATTGTGCGAATTAATGTGAACAAACAGAATTAATTTGTAATTATGATTTATTCAGGCCAAAGGTGAATTTAGGTACACTTACATGAGATTTTTTCATTAATTAGTATTTAATGTGTCTCCCTTTTACTTTTATGACTTTCTGGAGTCTTCTAGTCATGGAATCCACAAGTTTTTTGCAATTGAATCTTGTTAAAAAACTGCAGTCCCTTCGGCCTGTACTTTGTCAAGCTCTATAGGTAAGCGTTGCTCTAGCATGGCTTTGTACTTTTCATTGTTCATCATACCTTCAATAGGAACAAGAGTGCCAGTTCCTGAGTATGAAAAACAGTCCCAGAACATTTTTTTGGTGGGATGTTGAACTGTTTGGTTAATATGGCCAGCTGAAAGTGACTCATTGGCTGCCTTTTGTACGAATTTTGATCGCTGGCCCTGCACTAGGAAATATGTCTCATCAGAAAATAACACTTTTCACCAATCTTCTGCACTCAGATGAGCATATTTTTTGTCCAATTTAGTCTCTTTTTCATCATAGGCGCTGTCAGAAGTTGTTTCTTCTGCGGTCTCACGGCTCTTTTTCCTTCTTTTAAGAGAAGTCTGCGTACCGTTGAGTCGTGAATTTTTATTCCAGCCTTTTCTAAATCTTGCTGGAGGTCATAACTTGTTTTTCTGGTATTAAGTTTGCTATCGCGCAAAAGAAAGGCTTCATCTCGAGGAGTAGTCTTCCGTTTTCTTCCACATTTTTCTTTCCGCTACACTTCAACTGACCCTGTTTCCTTTTTTTGTTTAATTATTTTGTTTACTGCACTCAAACTTACATAACACTCCTTTGCAATATCCCTCTGAGTCATTGGTATATGCTCACTAAGTGTTATGATCTTTTCTCTTTTCCTAGGAGTGATATCCATATTAAAAAGTTAATCATGATTGCACAGTTAAATCAATGAAAATGACACCAACTTGCACATAACCTGAGATACAACATCATCATCAATGGCGCTACAACTCTTCGTGAGTCTTTGCAGCGTTTACTATTGCCTTCCATGTTTGTCGGTCCTGTGCTAGTAATTCCCATTGTCGCAGTCCCATTTTCTCTAGATCTTCTTTGACTGAGATACAACAAAATATAATAATGATATAAAACACAAAGCACGTGTTTTGAACAATATACTAATAAGGTTTTGAGGTTATGTTGTTTTTTGACAAAACAATTGACAGAATAGGAACAGCAGGTGTGTCAACTTATGAAAACTGAATTTCGATCTCTGTTCACATTAATTCGCACAATACTATATTTATTGTACATAAAAAAGACTCAGATTTTTTTTTAATTCATCTTCAATCCAGCTTTTTTTGACAAGCTTAATCACCAAGTTAATACTTTCTTATAACGTCATCAGGAACCACATATGAATAATTATTCGTAAGTGTATTCCATACAATTCGTACTTTGATCAAAACAGATGGATATGAAAATCACGCCGCTGAATCTCCTGTATAAGTTATTTGGAGGATAAAAAATACTAATTATAAGTTTAAGACAGCATCATGAATGAACGTTGTTAATTTATTTGTTTAAAAATAGTCTCTGTGGACTTTAAACTTTTAATAATTTGTTTTTATGTTATTGTTTACGTTATTCCTACATGATGTGCGCTTAAAACTAATAGTATGTTTTTTATTAAATCTATCTAACCAGAAACTAATACTAAAATTTATGCTGGCCTTATTTACTACAAACTCAATTGTATTTATTTTTTTTAAGAATTTATGTGCCTTAGCAAGCTTATTGAACAATGAAGATATTTTTACACCTATATAATGCATATTCTTTTGATGTTTGGTTTTGAAATATTTTAATTTCATTGTAGTGCCTTAGAATAGCAGAAATTTAAGGATCATCCGTTTTTTCTATTGAGATTTCATTGAAAATTCTATAAATCAATGCAGAAAGTAAAATACTTTAGTTATTTGATATAATTAGAATAGTTCATAGATTTATGGAGATTTCAATACAAAGTCTAGTTTCAAATATTTGCATTATTTTACATCTTTTACGTCGAAATCCAATTTTCGGTATTTAATTTTCACCAAATAATCTCATGACGGACAAAAACGTTTTCTAAATACAGTTTATCTAGGAAATATGTTGAAAAATCCTGCTCTTATTGTCAAAACATTAGTGGTCTAGCCACAATATTATGTGTGGCCACAATATTATTTGGAGCTCGCTAGACCATGATAAAATACTACATATTCTCTATATGTTCTTCTATATGGAATCGAGTCATGGACCTTAACTGAAGCGTCTTTGAAGAGACTCTAATCATTTGAAATGTGGTGATATAAACGCATATATACAGAATGGGTATCTGGGCCATATAATGCGCCATGAACAACGATAGGACCTACTTCGGACCGTACTTCAAGGTAAGTACAGGGAAAAAGAGGTCCAGGAAGAGGAATATCCTGGATGTATAACCTACGAAAATTGTTTAACGTGAGCACTATTTAGGGAGTTTTTACGGCAACAGTCAAAAGATATAGTGGGTAGAACCAGAAAGACAGACACAGTACCCACGTTTACCACTATGGCGTAGTCACAAATATGTAGGCGCCATTTACCTTAGATAGCAGAAAATAAGAACAACTGTTTAAATGTACAGCAGCGGTCACTTAATACTTGACACCTTCATTTCTACATTGTAATACTGTAAAATAGCAGTGTCGTAGGGGTTTGCTTAATGTCAAAGTGCTTAGAATGCATTTGAATGAAACGTAAAAACAAGAGCAACTGCCAAACTCGAAGAAGGTTGACCACTAAGGCAAGTTGTTGCAGATTTGAACGTGGGCCATATGTGCATATGGAAAATCAAACAAAGATGGGATCATTTGCATTTTATAGCACAGTTGGGTCGTTCAAGAAGGCAGAAGATCTCCACAGAGCAACAAGATGAGATATAGATTATCTAAGAGTAGCTCTTTCTGTTACAGAGCAACAAGATGAGATGTAGATTATCTAAGTAGCTCCTTCTGTCACAGCTCGAAAAGCTAGCGAAGAGAGCGTTTCTGGTAGTATTCGCATTGCACGTAGAAGGATTAAATCAAGTGAATTGATACATTGTGTAGCTGCAAGGTAACCTTTTTGACTGAGGATCACAAGAGGAGATGAGCTGCATTTTTGTAATGAATTCATAAACCATGAAGATAACTTTTGGTCTAATCATGGATTCTCCAATGAAAATGTGTTTCAATCATATAGCAATGGTCTAATAATAGTTTATATGTCGAGAAATCATAGATTTGATCAACGGTATGCTTATCATGTATATCATGTGGTATTAAGAAATAGTGGAGGATTCTTGGTCAACGCAAGGGGATGGATAAGTGCCGAATGCACGGGAATTTGTTCTCATACAGAAGAAAAATATTAACAGGGTTGGATGGAACATGACAGACATGACATGACAAACAGACATGACAGATGGAACATGACTTCTACGGAACATGAAAGGAAATATGGAGAATGCTCTGAGGACAAGAAAAGAGATAAACGAACTAATAAAAATGAAACACATTTAGAAGGAAACATGGGCGGACTACTTTCGATCGATTTGCTAAAGGTGACGATAACGAACCACCAACACCAGAGGTGACGACAAACGAAGAAATAAATATTGAGGAGGAAGATGTAAAGGAAGCATTAAGGAAATTAAAAAATAGAAAATCACCAGGAGAGGACAGAATACTGAACGAACTCCTAAAGTACGGAGAACCAGATCTGATCAAACAACTATTAAAAATAATAGAACCAAGCAGAATTCCCCAAGAATGGAGATCAAGCATCCTAATACATCTTTTCAAAAGGGAGACAAATCGTCCCTGGAAAATTACAGAGGAATTAATTTATTAAACACAACACTAAAATTAACAACCAAAGTATAGTAACAACAAATAAACTGAATGGAATTATAACACTAGCAGAAGAACAACAAGGTTTTAGGTCGGGAAGATCATGCACCGACGCTATATTTATAATGGGGCAAGTGCAAAAGAAATAATTAGAATACAACATACCGGTATATCTATGTTTCGCGGACCTTAAGAAGACATTTGACCTGGTCAACTTACTGTACGCAAGAGTACAAGTACAAGAGTAAAACACAATAAAAGTAAAAGTAGAAGAACTAACCGACCCTATGGAGGCTTTGATGCTGGCACTGGGATAAAGAGGACAAAATGCATGGTTACAACAGAAAATTTAGTAAGATGTAAATTGGAGCTGGAAGGTAAGATAATAAATAGAAGAAGTGATAGCTACGGAAAGCTCGAAACTGAAGTGGAAGATCAAGTGAATCGAGCAAACAGCCTGAATGAATCAATATGGAGAAATAAAAATATCGGGAAAGAAATGAAAGACAGAATTTAAAAAACAATCATCAGATTAATAATGACATACTCGGCAGAAACAAGACCTGAGACAGTGTAGACAAAAAGGCTGTTAGAAACAGCAGAGATGAAGACACTTAGAAAAATTGATGGTAGGACACTATGGGACAGAGTAAGAAGTACAGATACACGACGTAGATGCAAGGTAGAGAACATCAAGAACTGAGTAAGACATAGAAGAGTAG